TAATACAACAGGTAACCAGTACAACTGCTGTGTTGGTAATACAACAGGTGATCTGTACAACTGCTTTGTTGGTAATACAAGAACCATCAATTACTTTATAAGGAATGAAAAGGGATTCATATATTGTACCCATTCGTAGATCGCTCTTCCTATGTGCGAGACAACACTTTAACCACCTTGCGGGCGATTACAGTATATAATATAATGTCATAGTGCTTTAACTCATACACTTAAACCATCATTCCTAGATGACATCTAAATATGAAGATTATCAAATATTACTGTTAGATCCATAGCTATATTTATCATATGATGGTATTGGTATCCATACGATAAACGAATCACATTAACTTGCTATCATGAGCAAGAACTACTCTAAATAAGCGCCAGGTATGGAAACAATGTCTGCTTGCTTAATAAACTGTTGCCTTACACTTTCAATAAGCTTAGATGGGTGTTTCTGATTTATGGATGCTTCTGTTTCTCAGCACCATACCCGTGCTCGTGGGTTTCACCGAAGTGGTAAACGTCTAAGACCTGCATGACTTTGAGCTTTCCTCCAACATGAAGCTGACGCGCCGTGATATAACTTGAATACTGTTAAAAGCGGCGTTAAACCCAACTCACTCACTCATATCAGTTGACACAATGTGTGGTTTCTTAAGTTACTTTGGTGAGTGAAATAAAGTCTTAAACATATTTTTTTAGAATGATGATAAAGAGCGTACTACCCTCCCGTCTTTCTAAATCGTAAACATCATATATTAATATCAAGAATACAAAATATGTATTATGCTCCCCAAAGGCTCGCTTAATACAATTTTCATTTTTAATATATGATAGTTACGGAAACACACTCTGATAATATGCTAATGGAATGCAGAGTCCCGCGTTCTTTGAATCGTGGATATACTATTATCCTTACCTGCTCATCCACGATACAGAAACTGCCATCCTTACACGCACATGCTTATGTGTTTCACTTGTTTCTGTATGCACCTCTACAGTGGTTTTTGCCACCTTCATGGCAGGAATCTCCCGATCAGTATCTCCCACTGGCAAGATATCCCGTTAGCGGCGGGCTACATCAGCAAATGGATTACCACATGTTGACAGATTTCTAATCGTTGGAAATCATTCCGAGGTAAGTTTTCTATTTCAAGCGTGTAAGCTATTTATGGATACAAGTGCAATGCACCAGTTTTGTAGTTTTAAATAAATTTTATTCGGCAAGTCAGATTTGAACTAACTACAATGTTATCAATGGCATGTATTCTTCTTACCACGTGGATATACCATGACGTGGATATACCATGACGTGGATATACAGACAGAAATCCAGCAAGGTATGGAATAAGGGAGAGATAATCTACATATTTCGGAATATCTATCAACGATCTGGCATTGTTAATCAAAGTGACAAAACCATTTTCATATTCTAAAGAAATCACTACTGTCCATGGTACAATTCCAACTTAATCTTTAGCATGTGTCTATCAATCTCTTTCAAATAGTGATGATACCAAGTGTTCAAGAAAAAGTGAGCGTTTCCAGTCTTACGGTGGCACCCGTCGCAGACACATGACTGATTTCTTCGTTACTCATCTGTTAGGGAACACAGTAACTGACTTTAAATTTGTTGCTACACTATACATGTTCAACATTGTACCCACTACTGCATTTACTCTTATTTAAATAAAATATGATTGTAGTAGTTACGGAATTATAAAATATTAATAAAAAAGAAAGAAAAGGTGTCTGTTGTGCGGGATTATAAAATGAACGTAAAGGATTATAAAACGTTGATAAATCGTTAGAAATATTCAATGTAGGTTTTGGGGTTTTTTAGTCCTAAAACATTTCAATACAAGAAAGAATATTTGATAGAATTGTATTACTGTGTTGGGTTCCGCATTTTATCAGTTTAGGAGAAGTGCATTGAAGTTGTTGTTATGTAAATCACGAAATCCAAGAAAACACCTTCACCACACATGTCTTCGCCATACGCCAAAACTTCCCGTCTGCCAACAGAAAAAATGTGTCGCATTTTTTGTGCTGATTTTTTTTCAAAAACAACATGTCTTACTGTGTACAATGAAAATATCGATTTTTTTTTCCTTTTTGAAAACATAAATTATACCACTTGTATTAAATTCAATGTAAGGATAGGAAATACAACGTTTGATGTACTGCTGATAATGAAAAATCTTAACCATCTAAATAAAAGCGATAAAACTCTTTTCATATTCATAAGTAAGGTAGAGACAATTGTACGATTCCGAGTATATCGTGGGCATATGTTTATAAATCACTATCAGATAGTGATGATATCAGGTGTTTGCGAAAAGGAGAAAAACAACACACAATGGTAAGGTGTGCGTAAATATAAAACGTGAATTCCGAAGAACAATTATTAGCGCTAATCTGCCGTATTAGATTCGATGGGGTACGAAAGGCAAATCTGTGGTGAAAATGAAAGCAAATGTTTGTTTTCGTATATTTGAATTGTTTAATCACCTATCTTCATGATCGAATATCAATTCCGCAAATCGATTTATGCTACTAAATCTGTCAAACGAGAAATCAAATATGAACGAACGCAATTGAGTGAGTGAGTGGGGTTTAACGCCGCTTTTAACAGTATTCCAGTTATATCACGGTGTGTCAGCTTTATGTAGGAGGAAAGCCCGAAATGATGCAGGTCTCAGACGTTTACCACTTCGGTGAAACCCACGAGCACGGGTATGGTGCTGACAAACCTAGAAACATAATTGGGGCGAACCGGGATTCGAACCCGGAATCATAGGTTTCTGGCGTGCCCAAGGGACGCAACTCTGCACAGCGAAACGCGGCGCCTTAGACGACTGGGCCACCCGTGCCCCCCAACGCAATTGAATGTGCAAGCTCCGGGGAATATAATGATATATATGTGGACACCACGTGTTCGCGGAATAGATGGTCAGGTCTCGCTGAATTGCCGTAGTGGTCGGTGAAAGGCAGTAGGGCGGCGAGGGAGGGAAAGGCTACATTAATACAATTTACACAAATTAAAGGAATGATGGAGATAATGAAAAAAGGATGAATAAAGTTCCTGTGTTAGTGAGTGATTTGGATTTTTACGCCGCTTAGAGCAATATTCTAGAAATATCAGTGAGTGGGTATGGTTTTACGCCGCTTTAAGCAATATTCCAGCAATTACAAGGCGGGGGACAACAGAAATGGGCTTCACACATTGTACCCATGTGGGGAATCGAACTCGGGTCATCGGCGTGACGAACGAACGCTTAAACCACTAGACTACCACACCGCCCTAATACAAGTAAGACAAACTGAAGGCGTGATCGCAAAATTCGTGTATCGTTGTAGGATAATGTATGGGACTTCAGTCAAACCCCGTTAGGCCGGACGTTGTGAATCTGGACCCCTGGTCGACGGTTACTTATGGGGACGTCTGTGTTTATATACAGAAAATTATTGTGTCCATGGTTCGTTATTCCGGACAAGTTACCGGATTCGGAACGGTACCGTCCGTATTGACGGGTGTCAGTGCACATGTGTAGCTTACTTACATTGTAACAGTTGATATGTTACGAATGCGGCATGATTGGTATAGTTCATATTTTGTAAACGATGTATTAACTGATGTAACGAATAATAAAGCATTTGGTTGTTTTGTCGAACCGTGTTGTGTCGAACTTGGATGTGTCGAATTCCCTACTGTCTCGAACTTATTTGGGAGACATTGTGATAAACTGTATCTGTAACCTCCATCTGGTTGACGTATCAGCGATACTAACGTATTGACAAAAGTCAAGCAGCATATCCATTGTCACAATTAACCGAGATCTGTGTGGTATGATAATTTCAGTTTGATATTTATCATAAATAATATACTCGACAGTTGCTCTCATCAATAACCGGGGCACGGGTGGCCCAGTCGTCTAAGGCGCCGAATCCTACCAGAATCCTATGATCGTGGGTTCGAAACCCGGTTCGCCCCGATTATGTTTCTTGACTAGTTAGCACCATACCCTTGTTCGTAGGTTTCACTAAAGTGGTAAACATCTAAGACCTTTCAGGCTTTCCTCCCACATTAAGCTGACACGCCGTGATATAACTGGAATACTGTTCAAATTGGTGTTAAAGCCAACTCACCCACTCACACTAATCAATAACCATATGAAAATAAAGATACCTGTATGGATGTTGGATGTATAATTTATTATTAATGAGAATTAATGAAAAGTAGATAGCTTTATGTTGCAAAGTTCACTTTTCAGAGAAATGCATATTTCATGTAGGCGTTGTGACACACAATTTTAATGCTCTTTAGGTTAAATTCATGAGTTATGAATCATATGAGATGGGAACACTGGTGGTAACCTTGTCAAATCTCATGTCTTTAATCAGAAGAACGGAAGGTTTAACGAAAACGTTGACAAAACGAATGATTAAGGTTTCTGTAAACACTCCTTAATTACGTGGCCCTGTTCTCATCGGAAGAAACTGACAGATGACGTGGAGAACCAGAGTGTTGAATCCATACAGATGTAGGTAAAAAAGTGTCCTCTTAACAACCCCGTTGTTTTCCAGTGTCATTCTCTTACAGTGGAAATATTTGAAATCCAAGAAGTCAAACGTTCCATTTTTTCAAAGTCAATCGAACTTGTCATGCTGGGATCGTTAATTGCGAAAGAAGCTTTGTTTTAATCAAAGCCTTTATTGTCGAACTTGAGGACTGGTGTCTAGCAAACATTTGTAAATATAGAGCTATTTAGGGTCACTTAGGGACGTGCCAGCCTGTCTACATCTCGCAATAGAAATGGGCGGTCTGTTTTGCCTTAACTAGGATTGTCAAGTGGGATGAGACAAGCGATCTGATTGGCCGAGAGCTAGCGCTCTTGGCATCAGTTGACCTTGTGACCTGCGCAATGACGGAGAAGCGGCGGGGGCCGATGTTTACACTCCCTTGATCACATGTTATTGTTTGTGAGGGACAGTACGTGCAGCCAGGGAGTTTTTGTACTTGCCAGTGCGATAGTATTTAAGCCTTCTGTCCAACGGGTAGCAGCATCAGTTAACCACCTCTTGTCGGTGTGGGTAGACACTCGTTAGGCCACGGGGTTGTAGAGAACCTGAGTCTCAAGAAGGGATCGAACCGGTGTCTCACATCTCTTGACAAGACACGTGGGCAGCAGTAACACTCAACCATCTGTGGATTCGGTCGTAGCAGCAACGTGTTATTTCTTAGGAACCATTTGTGGACGATATACTGGGACAATAATTGAACATGATCCCTCTGTTGCTGCTAACTGTGGCATATCTGGGAGCGTCGTCAGCCCAGCGTTGCGGCGGGGTACAGAACAAGTATGTATGCCACCCGTCCAATCCTCGTCAGTTTATGATTTGTATCGGAGATCAGCAGTATACAATGAAATGCCCAGGGAACCTACACTTCAGTACCAAGACCCAGACATGTGACTGGCCCAGGAACGCTGACTGTGGTCGACCTGTTCAGGTTGTCACCAAACCACCTCCTAAACGTCGAACCCCACAGATGTCACAACGCCAGTTCGGCGGTCAACGTCGCCGACAACCGTCGTACACCTGGCAAAGCAACAAACAGGGTGGAAACGTGAACAGCGCAGCCTCTAAATCACGGGGTGAACCTGTGAACGCCGTGGCAGCCCTGACCGGTCCTCGTAAGTACAAGAACCCCACTGACAGGGAACGCAACGTCGCCGATGACCTGTACAAGAAGCAACACTCCTATCATGAAAACAAAAATCAGCTGAAAGACACGAGAACTGTAGACACAAACATCAACCAGAATCGGGACAAATGGACCCTGGCCCATTACCCATGGTGGGCTGCGAAGTCTGCAACGCCTGCAAACCGTTCCCGTATGTCTCGCCGCCCTGTCACCCCAACCCCTGGCTACAGGTCCGGGTCCCCCTACACCCCACGGACCTCAAGGACATCGAGGACATCAAGGGTCTCGAGGACAAAGACCTCAAGGACATCAAGGACTAGATACAACCCGATCCGAAGTTCACTAGGGCGAGTTCCCGTCAACAGCGTGGCCTCCCGGCACCAGCCTCCCCCGGCGAAGCCTCTTATTAAGAAGACACAACTGACGAAGAAGAAAGAAGTTAAAAAGGAGCCGAAGCCCCAAAGGAAAATCATCAGAAAGCCAGGTAAGAAAGTGTACCTATACTTTCCTACATCTACCGAAAAGGTATATTTTATAGAGTTGCAGAACAAATGATGTCTGGAATACCTAGTCTCTCGTGACCTATAAACGTATGAGTTAAACGAACATATCTTAAACGTGCAACTAAAGTTTTCTTCATGGGACAATGTACATTAAAACGTTAAGTCTATATATAACATTGAATGGTACAAACTAAAAAAATATCACTAGAATGAGTGGCTGGCCCACCATAACTGCCATAATTCTATTGCATATTCAGTCATATGCTGTTTTGAAATTCGAAAGAACTTTCATTGGTTACTGAGATATGCATGACCAAAAGGCACAATATCATTTTATCGATAACATACTATTTAATACGTATACTGACACTAAACAGAGTAAAACATCATATCAGCGAAATTGATTAGCCTGTCATGTTAATTAGCAAAGGGTACACCTTTTTCCACTCAAGGTGTCATGATAGCTGGTAAATTCCATCAAACATTCATGTGTATCACTGTAACCAAACATGTTATTATCGCATCTGTAAGTACGATCTTTTTGCCAAGAATACCTTCAACATGAACGAAATCTTCAATGTAACGCATTATTTCATTTTTTTTCTTCTAAATTATAAAGCAAAGAAGCCTGAATTTGATTTAACTTGAAATGTTGCTGTTGACATGGAAACAATAAAATTGAAACACCTCTTAACCTTGAATAGAAAACCAGTAAAGAACCTTCATCTATATTAAGGTTATATGGTCAAATCGTTCACCCCCCTGAGATATTTGACAATTTATCCTCGCCTAAGTTCGAAGGTGACACGTCTTGACACCTCTCAGTACAAGGAAGGCATGAATCAATAGATGGGATAGGATCAGAATACTGGGGCCTGCGTGCCCTATAGCCACTGTCCGGTTAAGATTTAACCATTGTCATGCAATAAGTTTACCACAAGGAAAGACGCACCATGAAAAGGGACTGTTCTAGTATCGCCTTGTATTGTATTGTAGACTGCTGGGACAAAGAAAGCATACACCCATGTTTGATGGTGGCTAAAATAAAACAAACAAGAAATGATTATTTGATGGAGATGAGTTTGATACGGGTATCTTGCCGATATTACGTCATTTAAATGAGTATTGCATCATTAAAACGAGTATTGCATAATTTAAATGACGTCTCCAGGAACGTGGTGGTCGCAATTTTACAGTAATGAGCAAAGTGAAGTGTCAGTGTTCATGTGTATACTTACTTTTGCAGTTTATGTACACTCATAAAATATCACCATGGTGATGGGTAAGATCTACAGCTGAAGATGACATTGCGTCAACTGTTTCGGCCTGTTTTATTTTTTATTCCATGTAATTACGTGCTATTTCAATAATTAAAGATTACATCAAATGTTGTTATGTTTAATACATGTTCAACATTGCATTCGTCTGCTGCTGTCAAATGATTTAGGATTTATTGTAAGCTAAGTAAACATTTTATGTTGGCGAGTGTGTATGGTATGTCTTGAGATGCTGTTTCGCAACACTTTCTTGGACAAATATAACAAATCCAGCAAAAGCTAGGGGATTTCAGTATCAATATCCATCGACATAGTGTCAACAAAATAACGTGACTTTAGCAGAGATTTCTTATGATTATGAAAGGGTTTTGTCTCTTTTGTTTACCATGTGTTTCTCTGATTGACGTCACATGCAACAAATAAAACGACATATATTTTATGATCTATTTGCTTAGGTGTTATGTTCAGAAGGCTTTGTAAAGTCATGTATAATCTGTTTGTTTGGATATTATGGTCATATGGCTTTGTAAAGTAAGGACAGAGATTACATATCCGTGTATGAGCAGTTGCCGCGATTGTGCTACACGCTGCTTGTGCATATCTCATTGCTGGTTTTAGTGAGTGAGTGAGTATGGTTTTACGCCGAATCTAGCAATATTCAAGCAATATCACGGCGGGGGACTCCAGAAAGAGGCCTCACATATTGTACCCATGTCTGGAATCGAACGCGGGTCTTCGGCGTGAGGAGCGAACGCTTTAACAACTAGGCAAAATTGGAATATTGCTAAAAGAGGGGTCAAACCAAACTCACACAATCATGTACATAAAGAGTGGTTAAATCGATAAGAAAGTTTCTGATAAACCTGATGGTTATTTGCAAACTCATATCCACATTGTCAACAGGAGTATATGGATATAATGGGAGGTAGAAACAGTATGGTCCACCCAAACTAAAATCCTGAAGGTCGGGAATGTTTGCTGACCAGCACTCCTGTTGGGTAGCCCCTCCCTTTGACTCCTGTTGCCACTGGGGTTTTAACCCGGCTACATTCCAATAAATGCCTCAGCTCAATCAACTATTTAGATAAGGTTGTTCTGTCATTTCATTACCTTTACTTGAAAATTTGAAAATTCGGGCCTACTATTAAGCACTACGTTGTCCACTTGGGTGGCGGACTTCAATAAACCATCAGAAATATGTTCCCACCCTTTATTGATTACAGGAGTAAATAAATGACCCTCTGAAATGTCTTTCAGAAAGTCTCAGGTAGATACATCAGAATTCCCAGAATGAAATCAAACAAATGCGAGAGCTACCTCAAACCTAGTACCTCTCCAACTATGCTCTCAATCCCTTGGGTCGAATACTTCGTGATGTTTTCTGAATGGCTTGTTGTAAGAAAGCAATAGGTGTGCTTGGATATATCGGGCAAGAATGCGAACACGTAGTGATGTCAGATGCACTGAACGGCGCCACTGTCGAACTGTACTAATCTCTTTGAAAAACCTTCTCAGGACCACTTTGTAGACAATCAGTGTTTGAATTTATTACATTCATAAAACAGCTTTGGCCAACCAGAAGAAACATGTATTTATTCAGTAGAGTGCACCTTCTTAAGACCAAGTGGTACTGGAACTTAAACGTCAACGGCAGTTATTCTAGCCATAAGGTTGTTCATTGTGCTTTTAAACTTATGGAATGCAGATAGCGTCCGTTTGGACACTTGCCTGTGAAATGGATATTAATACGTCTCTGTAAGAAAAATGTGATAAAGATTGGGCATATGACAAAGATATAAATGCACAATGCTAGAAATTGTAATTGACTAAGAATGTGAAATCCAAAATATAAAATGTGTTACATATGATAAAGATGAAATGGCGTTCCAGTTTCCATGTACAATTAATTAATTTGGATGTAAATATGTTTGCTGCTAATCAATTAAGCACAACGACAAGCACTTTGTAACGGATCACACTTTGCATCAGGAATGCATATCTTATCACCGCAAAATACACATACAAATAACTAAGGACTGACGGCCATCTAAACTTAGTGGAGAAGCGTCTTCAAGGAATGCCTCATAGGGGATCATTTTAATACTGCAAAAATAATAATAATGGGCCTCCATGTGTATTTGTCAACAAACGCTCGTCTAAAACACTCACTCGGCCGATTCGTCAAGTCATATCTTCCATGGCCATTGGCAGATGTTTGGCAATATTGACAGGCAACGAAGTTAAAAAATATTGTTGCACATTTCAACCTCAAATGTTTGTTCGTTTTCGATGTTGGGGTTTAAAAAAAATATTAATGGTAATGTTTTGAAATAACGTGACCAAAGAATGATAACGAATCAATAGAGGTTCTTATTTTTGTCAGGGCGCACCACATTTCTTGGATTAAAACCTAAGCGCGATGTTGAAAATTTGTACAGATATTCTGAGAATGTAAACTTCCAGATAACATATTTCACAATTTAAAAGGGACTCTATTTTCCACATTCTAGTGCCCATTTCCAGTCTAGGTTTACTCAATGTAATAAGCATCATTAATGGAACTGAGGCATTGTCTCTGTGTTATTGGGAAATCATTAACTGAGAGATTGATATTCATCATTAATTTGAATATGAAGTCACACAATGTGAGTTTGTTGAACTCAAGCTAAACTATCTGGGACTAACAACTAGCCCGAGACTAGATCCCCATTGAGTTTCAAATTTTCTATTTACTATTTAAAGTATGTCTTGGAAATATAAAACGTCAACGCCTGAGTATAACCAGTCTCGATTATCCGTCGAAACAAATTCCATTGGTAGAAAGTGGGGGGAATTATGTGACATTATGCTGAACATCCTTGATGAGAACAGGTGTTCGCTGTTGCCGAATAACTTCATCACATTACATTAAGCTATCGCCAATGTGTAAACATCTTCCGCTTTTAGTTTGCAAAACAAGACTTATTTTCATAATCAAAAGTCATGAATAATTTTCTATATCGACATGAAATTATCATCCAAAAGGAGTTTACTTTTAACAATTCCTTATCAACCAATCAGTTCTAACATTGACACATTGAACTCATTCGACAGCAATGTGTTTCTGTAACAAATGGTAATATTTATGAAAAACTTGTTGAACATTGTTAGCCTTCTGACTCTGCATTTTAAACACGTCAAAGACTTTGTTCTTCTTCTAGCATGTCTCACACCGGCTTTGACAAGTAGTCTTTGCATGATTCACCTACTTGCTTTGTGAGCTTCTGTGTTTGAGTATCGGAACAAATGTACAGTCACTCAGCCCTGGCTGCTCTGCAAAGGTCAAGAAGAATCAATGCGCTGACAGCAACACGCCGTCGACCTTCTAGCTACAAAATTTGATAATCGAAATTGATCTTTACTTTTCAGAAAGTGTGCAATGCATGTATTCAACCACACACCTGGTATAATCACTAACTTGTATTGTGATTCGTGAGCGTAGCTTTGTCAATCCACGTATATTTTGGTGAACATGTTAAGTGTCCCTTTTTTAATCTGTTTTTAATCCTAAGTGTGACAAAAGAGGATGAAGGCCTTTGTGTATTTTTAAGCCCACACACAGCATAATCTGTTCCTCTGTTGTTTTATATTAGGCCATGCATCGCAAAATATTTTCACCTTTTATAAATCCTAATATTAACGTTTATCAACCAAAAATGCCTTCCACATTTGAAGTAGCCAGGGTGAGATCAAGGGATACATCGGAAGATATCTCGCTACAATGCTTTGAAGGCCGTTGTGAAATAAACGGTTTTCAAGACATCACAATGAAATGATATCACTAATAGCTGGCTAGCTATACCTTTTATACTCAACACACTGGTTAATAACTGTTTACCCAAAAAGTAAGAAGAATGATTTTGGATGATAAATGGAATCTCACCCTCGTGTCTTCTGACACGATCATCAATCGTCGATCAATGATTAAAACTCCTCAGCAAGCCTCGGAGTCTTAAACTTTTATCAACTAGTATTTGACAGCCAAAGATACTTGGGTGATATTCTCTATTTAACCAAAATACCCCAAATCCCAACAATGTCATTCTCAGCAAAATGTGTCAAGCTAAACAGCGTCGAAAGAATGTCTTCCAAATCCAATGCCAAATTCTATCATGTTTAGTAGTTTTAACACAAATTACAATGGCGTGTGTTAATACAATCTTTTGTTTTCCGAAACATGGTTTGAATGTTACCTGTTCTAGCCCCGCCTTTCAGCACCCCTAAACCACGCCTATATTCCCCCGTAAACAGCCACAGGTGCATCTTCAAAGAGAACACAACCTAGATTTCAAGCGTACACAAAGCTTCAAATTCTTCAACAAATAGCTACAACCTGCACAGATAATATTTGCAAGCACATAATACACACAAACAATCACGTCTTGAAGTTTGTCCTCAGATTTAGGTGTTCAGGCGATGTTAGAAGTTGCACGTTACCCAGAAACAAGTTTGAGTAGTATTTAACATTAAATGACCGCCCACGGCTGAAAAGACATTTAAATGAAAAACTACATAATAAACAAACATGTATGGGAAGTTATAGACATAAAGTAATCTGGTCTAATATGAGAGAGAGAACATATTTCTTTAATAATTATTTGAAGACTTTAATGTTGTCATGGAGACGTGGTATTAGGTCATGTGTAATCAATAAGGATGATGACAATGTTACATTCCCCATCGTCTTGGTGCCATCGTAATATGAGTATATAGCCTAGTATATAACAGTTGGTATATATTATGTATGTCATAAAGACGTAATGTACTGACGGGTCCAGAGAGAGGTTTTGTGCAGGATGCAAGGGGTTCGGTCCCTCCATCCCTTCTTTTCAGTCACTTACATGACAACTTGCATTCCCTTTATCAAGTGTCCTTGTGCACTTCGTTACTTGAACAATTTACACAAATACCCCTTTTTCAAAATCCTCGATCCGCTTGGGCGGTCGGGGAGCCTAGTGGTTCAAGCGTTCGCTCGTCATGCCGAAGACGCCGTGATATTGCTGCAATATTGCTAAAAGCGGCTTAAAAAAACATACTCACTCACTAACTCGATCCGCTTCTATATTGGAGTACTATTACACCGAGGGATGTAATATTGGCATCACATACTCACTAAAGCTTGAGATTAAGCAAGGTTGACTCAGTCACAACCCTTGCAGTATTTACACATCGTTGTTACAAGGAAATGTGTCTCTGTGTTGTATGTTCGACATGCATTTCAATCGGAAAGCAAAATTCCTATAATGTAATCACCTTTATTTTCATTGTTAATTGAAACAACTTATCGCCTCGTATCTAGTTCTAATTGAAGGTTAAGGTTCTCAGTTAATAAAGTAAGTGAAGAAACAACCTTTGAGGCTATATCGAGATTGTTTAATGTTCTTCAGGCCCCCTTTGTATTCCTCAGTTGGAGTTTTATTTAAGACCTTACCACCTTGTTAAAACTCTTATCAATCCTCAAGTGACGAACGACCATCAACTAAGTGCTTTAGTTTCCAAAATAAAATTGACATCAAACGAATAATTACCATTCACCCTTTCGACAGAGAATAGCTTGGATTACAAGGGCGGATTAAAAGTCCTCCCCATTTTCAAATCGATAAAAACTCAAACAAATACAATGAGCCCTACGTACTTTGCAAGATAATTCAAAGCTCATCCATACGCAAATCCGGGACTACCAACATCAATCATGGCGCTGTGGAACAGCATAACTTACACAGACAGCCATGTCAGAAAGTCAAGGCAGTTAAATTATGGCCTTGAATCAGCTCACGAATCGTCAATGCGGTAGCCTATCCTGACAGTATTCGTGATAACCTACGCTTGCCTTTAAATGAAAAATGTGCAAGCCTCAATCACTCTCCTGAACTTCCAAACATCTACAAAGAGGGATTGTCATGTGTTTTTGCCTCGAGTGTTGGCACGGTTCCTTCAGTTGGGACTACACCGCACTCCTTCACCTCTCACATGTACACCTCTGTTTGTCTATTTGTCGATAAGTCTAAGTTCAATCTACGTTTATAGATTGACAAGGCTTACTGTTATCCGGGATTGGCACCTAGTACATTTGTCTAGGTAAGATGTCGTTTACTGTTAATCACAATTGCCAACACATAAGGTTACGGAGGACTCCGCGAAGACGTGATTAATCTATATTTTGGGTAAGAATGTCAAATATTCCGTACAATTTGGCATAGATTGTCTCGTGTTTTTTCTTGGAGAGAATTGGGAAAGAGTAAAAAAATTATATTAAAGAAATTCGTACAATTTATAACGTTGCAAAAACATATTTGGTTAGAATTAAATAATCCAACAAGGGATGAATTGAAAGAAAAATAATTCTACTCTAATTTTGGATGTTATTAATTAATTGTGACATGTAAGCGATGATTGTAATTTGTAATCCCCTAATATATCTAGAAGATTGTTGCATAACGGGTTGATATTTCATATGTCGGGATGAGTGAGTTTGGTTTGACGCCATTTTTAACAATGCTGGCTGGGGACACAGAGATTTGGTTTCACTTTAGGAATAAAATATATAAAACGTCAGAGAACAATCCGTGTCGATTAACTGCCGAAACATATTCTATATTCCATGAGGCGTAAAGGGCAAAAAAGCGGTGAAAAATGTATGAATGGATCACTGAAAATAACAGACCAAGGCCGGCGGGTGTTGGGCGTTAACCAATCGCCCACCATAGTGTGAATTGCTTTTCATCGCATGAGCAATGTCTGCAGCGGCCCAATGATCCGTGGCCGGGAATGTAACTAAATGATAACGATAACGTCTATCACAAGCGGCTTGAGGCTCAGGTAACCAGGTCGCGTCACGGCTTTGGGTTTCCTTCTCTGTTTGACAATATGAGTATCACAAATCAACGTGTCCAGCATGTTAATTCAGGCTATTTCTCATTGTTTTTCAAGAGTTAGATGTCGAAAATAACACCAAAGATACTTGTAAACTGAATGAATAAATAGGGTAAACATACGTGCTTTTTTCTGATTCTTGTCTGGCCAACAGATCATCCCACGACACGCTATGTCCTTTATGAGGGACATGTTGAAAACGGTTCTGTTCGTTTTTTGGTCACAATGTGTATTTGTAGAAACAAAACCTAGCCGTGTAATCTCCTTGCTTAATGAGTCAGGTGCATGGTTCGTTTCTGTACACCATGCTTGCTCTTCTTTGTCGTAATGTTTATCGTTTTTAAATATTTGCTTATCATTAATTCAGAATCACGAACGAACACTCTATGTTGACGAAGACATGACCGAAAGACACGACGTCTTAACTGTTCGTGTCTCCGGCTCCTGAATAAATGATAACGGTACTCCTGATCTGGAGTGATGTTGACTCCATTCGCCCCTCGTCCTCGCTGACTTCATAATCTTCGTACATCCATAAAACGAAAGAAAATAAAGAAACTTTCCTTTAAAAAACACACTGCAAATGTTTTCTTTTCAGTCGTGGACTTCCTTCGGAGAACTTATGTAAACATTGGACCTTTGATTGAAGACATGCACATTTTCTTCTGAACTTGATTGTTGTATACAGGATTGACTTTTACGGGATATTCTGTTGAAAGAAGTTTGATGCAATATTTGAAATGTCTTTCCGTGATGATGTTATTTGCATCAATATGATCCATGATAATCTATGTTAACATCAGTGCACCTGCACTGACAGATAACTTTGACCTGAAATGAAAGTTTCGAAAGAAAGTGACTTCATGTGCAGATAAACACACAGACATGTGCTGTTAATACCATATGCCATCATTCTATAACTTTACTTTGCAAAACGAAACACTAACTTAATTGTGCTTCATGTTTCTTATGTTCAAAGGAAGTAAATCTATTTCTTCAGTAAATAATTTTCAACCTCTTTCTTAATATATCAATACTTTTCCTTATAACACCTTTGCACTATTTCCCCAAAAATATTGTTAGTGTTTTTTTCTGTATGGGGACTATTAATTTGTAGCACAACAAATGTTTGAGAGACATCTTTTAGCATTATGATGCATTCCTTGTAAGCATTTACATTCGTTAATAAGTTGTTATTTATTTGTTATCCTCTAGCGATATAATTCCTCAATGTTAAAAAAATATTATTTGAAAAGGTGTGTTTTGACAAATACTGTATTCATGTTCCAGGCAAATGTGACCCCACCACCTGCCAGCTCCCCGACTGCCGTTGTATCGGTTCCGACATCCCTGGTGGTGTCCCTGTCACGCAGACACCCATGATGGTCATGCTCACCTTCGACGACAGTGTCAACATTGCCAACTTTGACTACTACGAAAAACTGTTCGATGGGAAGTTCAAGAACCCCAACGGCTGTCCTGTCAAAGGAACCTTCTTTGTGTCTGGCGATGCAACCCAGTATCACCTCGTGGAGAAGCTTCACAAGAAAGGCCAGGAAATTGCCTCCCACAGTCAGTCCCACCGATCACCCACCACATGGTGGGCCCATGCAGGGTATGAAGGCTATGTTCATGAAATAGAAGGCATGAGAAAGAAGTTGTCCCTCAAGAGTAAAATCCCAAAGGATGCCATCAAGGGAATGAGAGTTCCGTTCTTGCAAATCGGAGGTGATGATCAGTATCAGATGTTGCACGACTACAAATACCTCTATGACACGTCCATGGTGACAGGTCATCTGTACCGAAACGAGAAACCCCCTGTCTGGCCCTTCACCCTTGATTACCCCCCAGATTCCAAAACCTGTTCCCTGACCCCCTGTCCCCAAGGCTCCTACCCCGGTCTCTGGGAGGTTCCCCTTGTCCGTTGGTATGGTTCCAACAAGATGGCTTGTGCCATGCCTGATGGTTGTATCATTGGAGCAGGCAGAAAGGGCACTCTTAAGTATCTGCAGGATAATTTCAATAGGCATTATAAAACCAACCGATCTCCCCTCGGCATCTTCCTCCACGCTTCCTGGTTCCGCAGGAAGTCCGGCAACTTCGAGGCCCTGATGGATTTCCTCCAAGATCTGTCTAGAATGGAAGATGTATGGGTCATCTCAACATCACAAGTTGTAGATTGGATTCGCAACCCTAAGCCATTGTCACAGGTTAACAATATAGAATCCTGGAAGTGCTAACCGTCGAAACGTTTAGGGGAATAACTCATAACATATGGATATGAATGGAACATGCAAGGTTGCAATAATATAACAGAGGGACGGACTCACTGGTAATAAATGACACTTATGGGAGTGGTTTCTATATATGTTCAATGTTCTCTCAAGGTTCAACTTAACAGGTCCTGAAAGGTATAGCGTTTAGCCTTCGACGCACGTATTGGGCGTCCATGTGACAAGGTAAATCCCATGTGAGCTGAAGTCGAGGAAGTACAAGCTCTGCTCCAGTATTAAGGTTTAACTGTTGCAAACATGCTGACACCAGATGTCGAAGATACGCTGATGTAAGACAGCAAATTATGACACCACGTGTCATATTTGCTGGTGTAAACGACATCTCCAGACACCAGGTGCCAACGGCATGTGTCAACAGGAATAGCTTGTATCATAACCCGCGCATCTGTATATAAACCCTGCAACCTCCCCTGTATATCTAGGTGCACCACACTTCTTTGTACATTCGCATAGGAATTCGTAGGAACTGAAGGTTGTCCCCAGCCTGTGTAGAAGCACCTGCAGTGTATATTTATATATATGAATATCGTGTACATACGAAAAACATCTGATAGATGTCAATGAAACATTCTAATCTTAAAATATATAGCTGATTTAAATTGAAATATTTTGGGATATTTGAAAACGAAATTAATTTAAGTATGGCCGTATTGTATAGCAGTAGTAAAAGAAATATTGTTTGTTTTATAAGCTTATAAGTTTTATAAGCTTGATCAGTTGAAAAGTCAATGGAATATCGTCGCCTGTATATATGTACATACCTCCATGTTGTATCATACCCCCATCATCCCAGTGCTACTCTTGTATATAGACCATTGCTCACAACTGTGTTGTACAGACATATATTGATGTGAATAAATATATTTATTGTGAACCAGTGTCTGTTAATTTTGCGATAGTTGCATTGTAGTTGTTTCCATTTTGTGTTACAGGAATAGTGACGGATAACCTAGTGGATGTTTGAAGCGTTAAGTCATCACGTCTGAGACCCATGTTTTATTACCAGATAATGTAATTTGAGAAATCATTACTTTTATTCCCAGTCCTTATACTTATGCATGTGACAGGGGCAGTCACTCACTTCACTTGAATGCTACACGTTAATGACAAACACCGACGGACGTAATATTTGTGACTTACCAGCAAACAGAAAAAGGATTCTACTCGACAGTAATGTTTCAGCATCCATTTTCTTCATTACATTGACAGTTAATCGCAAGTGTCTCTTAACTTGTCGCTGCTATGTATAGTCCAGGTGTGTTGTTTATGATATGACATTGTTCCTATTAGCGTTGCCTATATGGGGACGCCCGGACGCACTCGTACATGAATTAGGAAACCAGTTATTCTTGTGTGCATGTAAGTCAGTTACAGTTATGTGTCATACGACAACAGTACTGACAGGACAGTATGATAGAACACGTTACTGAAACAGATGCTGAGATTCCATATTTGATCCAGATGACGTTCAAGAAAGAATTTGGAAATCGAAAAGATTAATAGAAAATGCGCTCTAAGAAAATGTGTATCTTCAAGGAAACGGGTCGTTGATAGTGAGCGTCGGTACACAGAAAGACATCAACCCAATACTTTGGATGTTACACTCTCAGACATTCAGTATATTCATACCTGTACTGGCATTGGGATGCAACACGGGCGGAGTGTTAGAATGTCAACATTGTCAACTATGACCACACTGTTCCACATTGTTTGATGCTTGGTAGTGTTTGTAGACAGAGCAATTAACCCATACACCACCTATGTAAGATTAAAAGCTTAATGTTCTGAATTATTTATTTATTAATAGTACGCTGTGCCCCTACTTGCAAAATAATTGGATATTATTATCATCACCGACGCCACACCATGTATAGGGGGTGAAATTTACATCTCGAAGTAATTATATTTAAGTGTGAATATGAGAAAATGCCACTGAATGAAAATGCGGGTTTTTGGTCTGGTATTTTCTTGACATCATCATTTGAACATGGGTGTTTTCTTCTGTAAGTAAACGTTAGACTACTGTATATCGCTTCGCATAAGTCGACTGAAAAGGGTTGGACGGTCAGTATCTGGAACTTTACTGAGTGGGCGTCATCGCTCTCCTGTGTATAGCGTTGCTCATGATTTCACTCACTGGTTTATTTGGTCAGTGTGGATCGTTTCAGGTCGCTGAAAGATGACTGTGACGTTACACAAGACTCACAAACGTAATCGGTATTCCTGCGACTCTTGCTCAAAAGGTCTCAGTAAAGGTTTTAAAAAGTTTATTGGAAAGCATGTGGAGGACATTTCCATATTTGGCGCATCAGTAACATAAAATGGTGTCTGAGGCAAATCCTTATTTTGACTTGTACCACATGTTCCCGTGTTTTGGCAGGTGAAAATTGACATGCTTTTGCATGTGTTTGGGATGGGTGCCAACGATGAGAAAGGATATACATGCCTGGTGAAATCACTATTTGATAATGTTTCGGAATCCTCCAAAGGGCTCTGCTTTTGGCAGAGATTTCTGACAAATAATTAAAAAGGTTGTATTGCTTTTATTTAAATAAAGTTCATTTTGCTAGACGAGAAACGTGCCATTGCTCAATACCCATCATTAACAATGAACTTAGTGCTTTGATCTTAGTATTTTGGGCCCAAGTAGGTGACCCAAGGTTAGGCTGACTACTGTAGCGAAAACCGATGTCACGTGGTGTTGTCTTTGCACATGTGTCTATATCGATGTTACACGCATGCACACTGATGTTTTGTAGCAGGTTGGTCTTCATTTTACAAATTCCAGCATATTACATCAGTTGTATCGAACTGGCAATTCACGGCGTAATTGTTGTGTTGATAAAAGTAACATTGTAGCGAAATATGTAATTTGAAGTTTGATCTTCAGACACTATAGATTTACAGATACCACACAAAGAGCAAATAAACGATGGAGAGAGCAAATAAACGATGGATAAGGGACATAATCAAAATAGAGCATGATGAGTGTTGACCAGTAAAACCATTGGTCAATAGCATGAGCAACCATTCGTGCCTGCTGGACACAGGAGATACATATTGTGATCGGTGCTAACAACAACATTGATATTAAACCTCAACGCCAGAGGACAACCAGTCTCGATTATCCACCAAGACAGATCCCATTAGGCGTAAAAGGCAAAAATAGCTGTGAAAATCATACGAATGGATCACTAAAAATCTGGGCCCTGGGGATCTGAGATCTGTTGTGTTTTCTTTGTGTGTTTGTTGTTTAAAGCCACGATAAGCAATATTCCAGCTACATGACGGCGGTCTGTAAATAATCGAGACTTAACCAGACAATCCAGTGACTGACATCATGAGCATCGATGTACGTAATTGGGATACGACATGCATCAACCAAGTCGGCGAGCCTAACAACCCGATCCCGTTAGTCGCCGCTTTACAATTGAACCTTTCATTTTAGTTTTCACACGTTTATTCGCTATTGACATTTACTCATTCGTATCTTTAGTTGCCTCTACGTATCTGAGGGATTCCTCAAACTTAGTATGTCGCAAGCCAATTGTAATGAATGAACTTAATATAGCAGTCAAAGAATTTTCATCGAGCCTCATTGCAGAAACAAAGAAAGAAATTGTCGATTTTCAGTATTGAAATTGAATTAATTTCAAAATAGGAATCTCTCTTCGGAAAAATCCTCTATTAAATGAAGTCCTTTTTTAAATATACAGAAATATAAATTTGATATATATTCAAAACATTACTAAGTGCTAGGTGACACTAGATCAGTCATTTGAATTGCAATACTATTCAACTACTACAATCATGGATGTACATATACGTCTATATACATGCTATCACTGATCCGTTTGGTGTATCAGAGGATCAGAATAAGAGTACTACATATAGGATTCTCGTAATGACTTGAATCGATTGCATCATACACGAAACGATATATTACATTGCTCTATAGAACTAGAGTAACTTGAGGACTGCGATTTGATGTTGAAATAACTTGAAATGATTATATACATAAAAACGACAAAACCTTTTCCATGTTCATGAGAAATCTCCGCCAAAATCAGGTTCGATTGCACTATTCCGACTATATCATGACCATCTGTCCACGAAACATCCTCAAATGGGGATGAAACCAGGTGTTCGCGAAAAGAAACGATATTACCTTACATCGCTTGATAGAATGAACTTGAGGACTGCGATTTGCTTTTGAAATGGCTTAAAACGATTCCAAAATAAAAAATCGATATTACTTTTACATTACTCTGTAGAATGAACTTGAGAATTGCTACTTGATGTTGCAGCTCAATGTTTCCATAAGACATTCTTTTATTCTAATTTCAGATGTGTTTTGTAAAAAGTTCTCAAAACCTCTTTTAGACTGGGGATGTGTTATGTCAACATGTATGAGTGAGTGAGTGAGTTAAAGCTTAACGTCACATCGGCAATATCTCAGCCATATCGTGACGAGTCAACATGTATGACTGACATTTACGTTTGCATCTGGAACGAAGATATATTAAAGTACATCTTTTGAGAAAATAAAATAATTGATGCTTCTGAGTTTTTCACATTTTGTTACTTTGTTTTAACATTGTATCTTCCAGTGAAGTACATGTGAAGGCTGGAGGTTGTTTGAACTGAACTTGTAACAACAGGCTCCTCCTTCCATCAAACAGACAAAGAATTGATTAACCATTGTTTTTCAGAGGGTGTTGTTTGCAGAAAGTAGTGTTTACACAAGATAATCCCGATTTCTCTACTCACGAAAATGTACATTTTGACGAATCAGTTATTTGTCAAGAGAGACCAGTGCCTCAACACATGTTTAAAAAACATAAAACATTTTCTGAGCACTTGAAAGGAAAGACGCCAAGAATGAAATAGTTTTTTAAATATATTCCTGGTATATCTTTATATTTCGGTCCTACCTTCCAAAACATATGAAGTTACTTTGAAGTTGCTTTTGCACGAAGAAATCTGTTGACAGCCTAGGTATAAGAAAATAGCCAGACGTTAGTCATAATAATAGAAAGTGCGTTGAAAATACAAAAAATATAACTAGAGAAACAGTATGAAAAATTTAATAGTTACAGCACTTTGCAATCATTAAAATTATTGTATGTTGTTTTCTCCTCGAAAAACTTATTAGAATTAAAATTTTAAAAAAATATTTTTTTTAAAGATTTACTTGGATTGTCACAGTGGAATTCGTTAAACGAATCCATAAGTAAGGAGATGAAATAGAATAGATTTATTTGGTGTTGGGTATGGTGTGTAATTAAACTTTGAACTTTTTAGTTTTTTTTCCAGACAGACATTCATTCTTGGAGCATGCACTTACTTACTCATATATCACTCCTGTAAATAATTGTTAGACATATGTAGTGCATACGTCCATATACAAATATAAGTGACAAAGCCCTTCCATAGTTTTAAGAAACCTATGCTAAAGGCAGAGTCGATAGTACGATTCTGACTATATCAAGAGCATGTGTAGATGAATAGCTATCAAAAAGTGATGACACCGGGTGTTCGCAAAAAGGTTAGCGTATCCTGTCCCGTTACAAACACATGCAATGGCAACTCAACTGTTCACCTGAAAAAGAAAAGGTCAGTACTTGTGTCATTGAATACTTTAATGTTCTATGCATTTTATTTCTTGGCAAAATAAACTATAACAAGAAAACAAACACTTATGATTTTATTCTTTATTTATCTCCATAAAACTTAAGTACATACTTAGTGATGTACATGAGGCTAATTTGAGAAATCTGGAAGTATAGTGAGTGAATGAGTTAATATTTAACGTCACATCGGCAATATTTCAGCCATATCGTGACGACCGGAAGTATAAGGTAGGTAACACTA